AAAATCAAAAGAAGAACTGAACCACAGGGGGCGCCAGAATATGTCTTTGCTGAAACATCTGGAAATGGCCCTGCTTAAGGACAAATTGTATCATGCAAAATATACAATAACTATAAATATGAATAAATGTCGCCTTATATCCTTGCTTTCAATGAAAATATAATTCGCTATAAATTCCGTGAACAAAATGGAAGCAACACTTTTTCAAAACCTAGAAAGCTGAAAAAAACCAAACCAAAACAAACAAAACTAAGATAAGATGTTGGAAGCATTTACCTACATTTCCTCTTTTTTAATTCACAGTAACCTCTCCCCTCCACACACACAGAAGATTTAAATATATTTATGCAACTGTCTTTTTAAATGTAAACTTTTATAATTTAAAATGCTTTAAAGGTAAGATTGTATGCATGCATATAATGCTTTAAATGTAAAATTATCTGCCTGTCTGTCTGTCCATCTGCCTAACTATCCCCAATATCTGAAATGTTCAACCTGGCAATTTACATGGGCTTTATTCAGGATTATCATAGTTCTCTCTGACCCAAGACCTCATTCAAAAGCTAGATCAAGATATAAACCCAGGTAATCCTCGACTTACAAAAGGTCATTTAGTGACCGTTCTGTCAACACCAGGGAAATCAGAAGATCCAGGCAGTTCAAATGAGTATAAAGATTTATTGCAAGCTTAAGCTCTCTACAAGAATCTGAACTACTAACAGTCAAGAAAAATTGGGGAAATGCAAGAATTAAGAAAGGAATTCAAGGTGGGCTGCACTCCGATCTTTTGTGGGAGTGCAGGGACTCATGACTAATGACGCATTTGACCCCTCCCTCAGGTTCAGCTTGGTCATCTCCTAAACATTCAAAATTACAACGGCACTGAAAAAAGTGACTTATGACCGTTTTAAACACTTACAACCATTGCAGCATCCCCACGGTCATGTGATCAGAATTTGGACGCTTGGTAACTGACTCATATTTATGACAATGGCAATGTCCCAGGGTCATGCAATCATCTTTTGCGACCCTCTGACAAGTCAATGGGAAAGCCAGATTCACTTAACAGCCATGTTACTAAGCAGTGCTTCACTTAACAACTGTGGCAAGAAAAGTCATAAAATGGGGCAAATTCATTTAACAACCATCTCGCTTAGCAACGGAAATTTTGGGCTGCCTAATCCTAACCTTAACCCTGTAATAAAAGTAGTCTGAAATCCTCAAACCAGCCAGTTTAATTGGAAGGGCACAGAGGGATTGGAGAGATTTTTAACATGGCCTGTTCCCCAGGGCTGGATAACAAATATGTTTTAAAACAGAATGTCTATTAAAAATATTATATTAAATTTGTACAAGTCTATGCCTGCATGAAAAATATTTTTAAAACATACAAGTAGCGATATACCTCTAATTACAGTAAAGAAGTAAAAAAAAAATCAATCAATAGGGCTAGGAACAAAAGTATTTTCCAATATCTACCTTTTTTATAAGATCAAATAAATAACCATGAAAGAGAGAATACATGATCATTGAAGGTCAAAAGTACAGGTAGTCCTCAACGTATGATCACAAGTGAGCCCAAATTTTATGTTGTTAAGTGAAACATTTGCTAAGCCAGTTTTGCTCCATTTTACGACCTTTCTTGCTACATTTGTTAAGAGAAGCACTGCGGTTGTTAAGTTAATAACATGGTGGTTAAGTAAATCTGGCCTCCCTATTGACTTTGCTTGTCAGAAGGTCGCAAAAGGGGATCACACCACACCAGGATATAAATATGAAGTTTCCATGCATCCAAATTTTGATCATGTGACCATGGGGATGCTGCAATAGTTGTAAGTGTGAAAAAATTAGTCACTTTTTTCAGTGCCATTGTAATTTTGAACAGTCACTAAATGAACTGTTGTAAGTCAAGGACTGCCTGTATAGACTTTCCTAAAAATTAAGTCATATCCAGATCATCATGCCAACAGCTTTATATCTCCACTAACTTAGTCAGATAGTATCTTCTCTTAGACTTCTTCTGAAATCATTAAGAATGTTTATGCAGAAAACACCAAGTTTGCCAAACCATTTGATACTGACTTGGTTGATAAATATTTCAGGGAGGGAGATCTACTTTACCTCTTCTTTTCTTGGCAAACTATTCTGATAAAATATCAGAAATAAATGGCTTAACGTTTTATCTAAGATCTATCATCAGAGACAATATAGGTTCGTGCATTAGATTATGCCATGCTTTCTTTCAGGCATGACTTGTAGAATTAGTCATAATGGTTTAATTCATGTGTAAATTATAGTTGATGTACTTCAGGGGCTGGCTTCACATCTGAAACAAGCCACAGATGAGCTCAGGATGGTCCATGAACATAATTACTGTCCAATCTTTGTTGGAGACCGGAGAATGGAAGAATCATCCCTAAGGGTTCAAGAGTTAAGCTCAAAGAACTACGTTTACGCATAATAGCATAACATTCTGTAACTGAGACTGAACATGAAGGGGGTAATTATATTTTTTAGAACTTTCTGGTAACATGCAAGTTATTTTGTTAGTCTGATAAGCCTTGAAAAGAGCAGGAAGAATGTACATTTTGCCAGACACGTTGGATAAATATACCCTACTCTACTGTCTAAAACTAGGATGGGTATACCAAGATAAGCCTGAGGAATTGCTAGATTTAGCTCTGCAGAATTTTCCAAGGCTATTCTAATCAACAGCTTGAAAGCAATGGGGATTCAAAATGTCTTCATTGCCGTATTTCTTTACAACCAAATTCTCCAGGAATTTTCCTCAGTCTAGGAATTTTCCAATTTCAGTACTACTAAAGGCATTAAACATTTTCTGGAGAGTAAATATGAAGGAAAAAGGAATGCATCACCTTCTTCTAGCCTTCCTGGAGAGAGGATAAAACCAAATATTGTCACACAACAACAACAAAATAAGAGTGAGGCATAGAAGAGACAGTTCAAAGGACATAGATATAAAAAGTCTGAAAAAATGAAATTATTACAGTGGGCCCAAGTAAAAAAAAATTTTTTTAAAAAAAAAACTTGGGTTCTATCAAACTGAAATAGGACAGAACTTTTTCCAAGAAAGGGAAAAGGGCTTATTTTGGTTATTCCTTCAGACAGGAATGATCTCCTATCCCTTGAACAAGATTTATGCTTTCAGGGAACAGATTTGCTATCACAGTATCTAGTTTGGTCTTTGGAAAAAGAGTTGGTATGCAATTTAGGCCTCAGATATCCAAGGATGGGATAACTATTCATAAATACTATTGTCCAACTCACTCTTACTACTTAAGAGTAGTAAGCCTTGGCATCATCTTCATTTAACCTGTGACAAATCTAACCAACACTTTCCTTTTTAGACACTGCAAATTCAAAACAGTCTTGACCATTTTCAACACTGCAAGGACCAGTGGAATACACATTCCTGAATCAGAAAATGTCAAACATCTGCTTTTATCTTCCAGAAAGGATTGGGATAAGAGGATAAGCAACTTGAACTTACTGAGTATCTCATGGCTGCAGCCTAAACCAGAAAAATTCCAGCTCAAAGCTAATCTGGAGATGAGATTATAACATTAGTATTTTATTAACAGAGCAAAAAGAAAAAGAAAACATATTCACTTGGACCAAGTTTTTGTGCACGTACTATTAGCTTGCTAGGTTGACTTATTTGTTAAATAAAACCGACACGCTGAATACTGCACAATTATTAATAAAGTCACAAGGGTTTCCAGAGAAAAGAATAAGAGTTCCATGTTAAACCCAATCCTTCAATTAAAAATATTTAACCTGTATTATGCCTGCTTATAAATATATCTACAACTCTGGTTGCAAAGCTATACTGTTATAGAAGAGAGTAGACAGAAAATCAGATTGTCACCCTTCTCCATTTATATATTTCAGTGGAAAAATGGGACAGCTTTTTTCCCCCATCCAGGCCTTGGTTTTTTGTTTTTGTTTTGTATCAACTATGTACTCCTTGCTCTGCCAGGCTATCAAACAGCTTGCAAAAAAGGGCACATAAACAGTGCTTGCATCAATCATGGCAGAGGCTTCCCAGCTACCACCAAAAAAAAAAAAAAGGCCATTCCTTACTGTAACCAGTGGCAATGATCCCTATGAAACAAGGATTTTATCCGAGGAAAGGGGGTGCATTTTGTATCCTGCACACTGCCCCCTTCGGTGCCAAAGGAAGCGATGGATACATTCCCCATCTTTTGTTCCAAAAGACACCAGCGCATCACACATGTCACCAGAGCTTCCCCTCCTCATAGGGCAGGATGCACGCACGGCAGACCCAGCTCTCCCGACCCTTCTGGCTGAGCCAAAAGAACTTTACGCCGGAAACCTTCCTTCTCCCCTCAATGCACCGAAGGCTCAGCCAGACACCCTCGCCCGGCCGGATTGCGTTTCCTTCCACAGACCGAAGGCTGAACTTACTGCAGGACAGAGAAGATGTGACAAAGGCGACGGCAGGCCCTTCCCCCCTCTTTTTCTTTTCTTTTTAATAATAAAAAGAGAGAGAGCAGAGCCAACCTCAACGCCAGTTGCGCCTGCTCTCTTCGAAAACCGCTCTCGCAGTCCGGCGTCAATGCAATTCCCCTCCTCCAGCGCCTCCCGGCTAGAGCCGGTTTGCTCCGATGCTCCTACTTTTCGGTCTGCTTCGCGAGCGGCGGCGGCGGCGGCGGCTCCTCCACCATTGTCTGCCCCAGACTCCCCGGATCGCGATACAGGCGCTCAGGTGGCCTGCCGCCCGGGCGAACAAAGAGCCACCGGCGCTCGCAGGCTGGAATAAGCCGGTCCCGGAAAAGCTCCGCTCGCCGGGAAGCCCCAACCGGGGAAAGCAACGTGCCTTTTACCTCCGCCCTTCGCCTCTTCCCCCTCCCCTCCCGTCCTTCCAAACCAAACTTGTCAACTGCGCATGTGCACCGAGCAGCAGCGCCGAGGCTGGCGTTGAGCAAGCAGGCAGCGGGGGCCAGGCGGGCACGCACCGTAAACATGTATGGGGTACAGACTGCTCGCTCCTCAGTTGGACTCCTCCGTACCTGACCGAGCCGCGCTCTTCTCTCTACGCCGCCTTCCTTCCTAGCGGGGCTGAAAAGCTGCGGTTTCCTGGAGGATCGGGGGGAAGCTGGAGAAGGCGGCGACCCCGAGAGTCACTCAGTCATTTTGGTCAGCCCTGCAGAGACGCGGGGGTCTCCTAGAAGACAAGGAGAGAAAAAAAAAGCAGGGTGGGCTGTCAGGCTTGTCCTCGGCAGCTGCTACCCGGACCTCCATTTTCTCTCTCTCGAGGTTCCCCCGATGAACCCGAAGCGGAGCTCTTTTCCCATCTATCCCCTTCCTGGCAAACCTGCCCGTCCCGGCTCACCCCACCCCACCCCACCCCAAAACGCGGGATCCTTGGCTGATCCTCCCTCTCACCCGGATCCAGCGCCGAGTTTGAAATGGGCACCTCTTGCAAAGTTTTCCTCGCTTGGCGCCGCCGCAGCTTGGTTCTCTGGCGCTGGATCGCCAAAGCCCAGGCGGATTCACACCGGCACCTTGCTGGCTGCTATGAGGCGGGAACTAGGAACCCTCGACGTATTACAGCGAAGGGCTGTTATCAACCGGCTCCCCGTTTTGCATAAAACACGAGAGCCGGACTCTGCGTCGAAGTATCTATCGGCTTGCATAATTTTCTTTTTTTTAAGGAGAAAAAAAAAAAATCACCGTTCCCCAGGCGGGATTGGCGGCCCGCCTGCTTGAGCAAAAGGAGGTGAAACTTCATGCTCCGCACAATCCCTCTCCACGCGCGAGTTAGAGCGGACCTTACCCACTTCTGGACTCACTCCCTATATTTCATCCCTCTTTAAAACAGCGCTTTCTCTCTGGCTTATCGTCGAGGCGAAAAATTTCATAAGTGGTTGTTTTTAACGAAGACTTTCGAGTGTTGCCCTACTAGAAACCTCTCCGCCCTGGCCACAGATCTGAAGGTGGTTTGGCGCGGGTTCAAAACGGTTTAGAGGCCTAAGCGGCCACATTAATCACAGCACCCCGAGTTAAAATGGAAGCAGCAACCTGAAATAAGTGCTATTATATTGTGTATACATTGTGATCGTTTCCCTCTCCCTGCCATCTACAGCTTATCTCACAGCAGTTGTCTGCTATTCAACAACCGTTCAAGGTTATCCATTCCTCCAGTATTGTAGACAAGATAAGGCTATAGGGCAGGAAGTTTTACTGATATACAGGGGAACAGAGCGAAGTAACTATACTTCCTGTTTGTTGGCTGCAACTTGGGAGTTGTTTTCTTCTGGACACATGGGAGAAAGTCATGTCTAGGTGAGTACTTTGGAAAGTGCCTGTGCTGGTGCCGTGCAAGCAAACAGCTGAATTGTCCACTGGTTAGGAATATCTATTCCAGTGGTGGCAAACATATGGCACGGGTGCTAGAGGCAGCACTCACAGCCCTCTCTGTGGGCACGCGCCATTGCCCCAGTCCTAGGCCTTCAGCTGGGTTTTATAAATCCTTTTCACTTTAGGCCTCCGCAGCCATGTGCAAAAAAAAAAAAAAAGGTTCAATCAGTCCATTTCAACTTCTCGTCTGTAAAAAAAGATCTTACAAAGTTGGAATTGATTGATTGAACTTTATAGTCCCACCCAGTCTGCTGTTACCACCGCAGCCACACCCAGCAAATAGGCCACACCCACCCAGCACTCAATGATGCTTAAGTGGGTTTTGGGTTGCAGTTTGGGTATTCAGTCTCTAAAAGGTTCACCATCACTGATCTATTCCATCACCAGTCCCTTTTTGGCCTCCCCTTCCTTGCCAAATAACAGACTGCAAAATTGGAAGGGAGACAATGTGGCTTAGCCCTTTCAATGTTGGATTAAATAAGGAAGACCCAGATTTTAGTTTGCCCTCTAATGCAGGGCTTTTTAACCAGTGGTACATGTACCACTGGTGGTACTTTGGCACCTGGCAGGTGTACACAACCGTCCTAGAGAAGTGGTAGTGGGGGGGGGAAGGAATGAGCTGAAGCGACAGTAGTACCGCACAAGCCTGAGGGAGAGAGCTGGAGCTGCAGAGCTGTCGGGGCTGGGCAGAAGCCCCAGGATCAGCGCCCGGCTCCAGCTAATTGACGCTTGCGGGAGCTGAGGGTGCCCTGAAGTGAAAAGGAGAGGAGGGGGTAGAGAGGAAAGGATATAAAAGGAGGTTTTAGCAGGAAAAGGCCAGTGAGGGGCTGCCCCCACCCCGCCCCCTGGGCAAGCGAAGGGGCGGCGAGCACCAAGCATCCCTGCTGACCGTCCCTGCTGACCACTGAGAAAGAAAAAACGTAAGAGAAGCGCTTCCCTTTCCCCCAGAATGCCTACGCTCGCCTTCTCTGTGCACCCCCAGGGGGCAGGGCAGAGATGGCCAGGGGGGACTGACTGGCTCCAGGGCTGCCCTGTGGATCTAAGGCTGAGCACATTCAGCTTTGATGGCCCCCGCCAGAAAATCAGCGCCATGCCCGCTCGCTGACCTAGCCTCGCAGCCACCAGGCTTCCTTTTCACCAGGACTGCCCCTGCCTGCGTGGGATAGCGACGACCTGCGCTGGCAATCTCCCCCCCCCCGCCGCCGCCATCATCCCTTCCTGAGCGCGGAGGAAGGAAAGAGAAGCAGGGAAGGAAGAAGGAAGGAAGGATTATAATGAGAGGGAGGGAGGGTCTGAGGGAAGTCCTGCCTTAGCACTTGGTCACAACCAGCTCTGCTGCCCTTTTGCCATCCCCTTGTCCCCTCCTCCTGACTCTCCTGGTGGTCTCCCATCCTATCGCTGAGGATGCTTTGGTTACAAAGCTGGGTCTCCTCACATGGAGAGGGAGTGGGCCTCCCTCTGACCCACACATTTTGCCGTCCCGCATACACCATGAGCAACCTGGCCAAGGAGAGCGAGCCAAGCAGCAGCAGCCTCGAAGAGACGGTAAGCCCAGCCGGGCACCCCCTTGGGGAAGGCTGGGCTGAGCTTGGGGGTCCTCCATGTGGCCTGAGAGCAAAGGAACCACCATCGAAGAAATTAAAACCGGTACTTTTTTCCTTTTTTTTTTAACGGTTTCTAACATTTTATTAGATTATGGAATAAAATACAAAAATACAAAAGCAAATATTAGGACACAGTGGGGAGGAAGAAGGGGAAAAAAGTGAGAGGGGAGAAGGGGAAAAGGCATTGACTTCTGACTTCCTCTGTTGCAGTAAAATGAAGCTTTAACATCGAACCTCAACTTTTTACTTTTCCATAATAGTATAAACTAGCCACTTCTATAACAACAAATGAATCTAACAAGTAAAACCCAAAATTCCCCCCCCTTTTTTTTTTAGTCATCAAGTTTTTGACACCTTGCTAAGTCCTAAAAGTGGTACACTCTGTGAAAAGGTTAAAAAGCCCTGCTCTAATACAAGCTAGTCCATAGATTCCCCAATCTTTTGGGCAGCAAGAACCGGTTCCGTGGAGCGAGGTTTTTCCATGGACTGGAGAGTGCGTGGTTTTGTGTGCTGCCTGCATCCCGTGGATGGGGCTTTGCTTATTTGTGTGGCTCAGTTGCTGGCATGCTGCGGCCCGGTACTGGTCCACGGACCGGGAGATGGGGACCTCTGCGCTAGTCTACTCCCTCTATTCTAGGAGGTGTCTTTGTCCAAGCTACTCTCGTGCAGCTGAATCTTGCACGGTTATCATGGAGAAGAGTAAAAGAGAACACTCTATATTTTGAACTTGTCTACAAAAGGCACAATATAATTGTCTTTGAGGATCCTGGCGACTACCTGGAAAAACCCCTGCAGTTTCCTTGGCAAGATTTTGGAAGTGGGTTGACAGTGCCTCCTTCCTGGGTCAGAGAGAATAAGTGGCCTAAGGTCACCCAGTTGTGCCTAAGGGAGAACTAGAAGTCAACAGTCTCCCAGTTTCTAGTCTGATGGACTACTGAAACGGTAGGTTAAACATAATAGTCTGCAGTTACCTGGTGACCTGCTTAGGGACTAGAACACTGGTTCTCAACCTGTGGGTCGGGACCCCATTTGGGGTCGAACGACTATTTCACGGGGGTCGCCAAACAACGCAGTCCGCCATTTTTTTCCCCTTTTCCTTAGCTGTGCTACTCCCTTTTATTCTATTGGCTTTTGAAAGCCAATAGAATAGACTCTCTTGAATAGAGTCTAATTCTATTGGCTTTCAAAAGCCAATAGGAATTGTCCAGGCTGTCTCTGCCCTGCTGAGCCCGCCAAAAGTCCCATTCTGCAAACGGTGCTGCAGCAGTTGAGTAGTCCTCGACTTACGACCGGTTGAGTAGTCCTCGACTTACGACCAGTTGGGGGTTGCAGCATTAAAAAGGTTGAGAACCACTGGACTAGAACAACTTACTTCCGTAATTCCAGGCTCAATAACATTTGTAAGTTGAAGACTACAGGTAGCGCAGTGCAGTATAGTATAGCGCACCAGCCAACCTCTAACGCGGCCCACAGGTTGGGGACCCCAATCTAAAATGTTCCCAGCAAAAAAAGTTTTTACTGACAGCCCTGAGATGTACGCCATGTGCAATTATTCTTTTAATCCATGTTGATGTGCTTCTGAACCCGAAACCAGACTCACCTTTTAAAATGTAGATATTTATCACTTTTTGAACATTCCCTTTCTTCTTTATTAATTAAATGCAATTTTAAAAGCAGCAGGATTTCTCACTATAACGGAGGGTGTGTAATGAATAGCTAGCTCAAGACCAATTAAGTGGTAGAAACATTCAGAAAATTAATTTAGTATTTTTTTAAAAAAAACATCTCACCACTGCTGTGACTAGGGCCCAATTTTTAAAGTATCTTTGCATCATAAAAAGATTCTGGATGCAACCTTACTCAACCTGTAGGAGATCAAAGTCCATAATCTGGCACCTAAATGAACTACTAGAATATATCAAGAGAGCAAGAAACAGGAAGTTTAACTAGTTTAAACCTGCTTTGTTCATTCCAATGAGCAGGAAAAAAAAAAGCTCACACAGCTATTATCTGTAGGACTAGTAAAAGGAAGCCTGTTCAACTGAAGACTCCTTTAACATCCACCATTCTGCTTGCTAGACTTTCTGCTCTTCTGCTCCACACTATTCTAACAAGCAAAATCTTACTTTTCTTGAGAGAAGAGCAGCTGTTTCTACGCAATCATAAATCTCAGAATAGAAGGCCTCGAGTTCTAGACACGATTGCTGTGCATTCAATCAGGGTTAAAACCCACTTTCTTCTTGCACAACGCTACTGCATCTCACGTTATCAAATGCGGAGAATACCAAGGGCTCCATAGTTCAACCCTGAGCTAAAAATGTTCTGTTGGGATTTGCATCTGTTACCCATTCTCCAAGAAGGAAGACTATGGTAAATAAACCTTGCAGTTGTTAACAACTACACAGCTGTATCTGGTAATGTGGAAAACGGATATTTATGCTTTTTGTGTGTATGCTACAAAAAAACCTCAGAGAACTGTACTTTGCCTCATTCTATGAGAATGAACTGGGGGGGGGGAGATGTAGAATGACAAAATTGTGTTTGCTGTAAATCCTACTACCCTTTTTGTCTGTGCATGAGAGACACTGCATACCTATCTCCAAAAGACAGTTATGAGATGATAATAATAATAATGTTGATGAAAGCAGGAAACTCCTATAGATATCCACACTCATTCCCTCAAAACTTGCTTTGGGCATTCATGAGCCTTTTTTCAACGATTTTTGTTATTCTCTCCTGCCTGCCATTACTGCTTCAAGACCATAAATTTTTACTGAAAACTACAAATACATATAATCTGGAACTCCATAATTACAAGTAGTCCTTGGGACTGCAATATTTTTGTTTCTAAGTGAATCACTGTAGTTATTAAGTTGGTAACATGCTTGTTAACCAAATCTAGCTTCCCCATTGATTTCGATTTGTCAGAGGGTCACAAAAAGTGATCACATGACTCTGAGACACTTGTAGCCTTCATAAATATCAGTCAGTTGCCAAGTGTCCAAATTTTGATCACGTGATCATGGGGATGCTGCAACAGTTGTGTGTAAAATGGTTATAATAAGTCACTTTTTTCGGTGACATTGTAACTTTGAACGGTCACTAAAGGAACTGCTGAAAGTTGAGGACTGCCTGTATAATATTTCATAATATAATAAATATATTATTTCAAATAAACTTTCATAAAACAGAAGCAACCTACCTGAAAGCCCATGGATTGTTATGTAAACTTCTAGCCCTATTTTTGTAGACTCCCAATTTGCACTTTTGAAATTAAATGGCAAAATTATTCTTTTTAAAAAGTAAGGGATAAAATATTTTTTCTCAAGACCCCAAAATGTCAGGTCCATCCTCTCCAGTGACCTAATTCTTTTTCCCCTGCAGCCATTAGAGGCTATAAAAAACCACTGCCCATTCCAGAGCTGCCATATCCAGACCTTACTACGTC